TATACAGGTAGACCTCGACTTACAATGATTCATTTAGTGACCATTACAATGGCACCAGTGATGGGATATTTAAAAATTTACTGCCATTCTGTGGGCGTGGCTTGGTGAGCATGGTGTTGCTTGGTGGGCTGGCTTGGTGGGCGTGGCAGGGGAGAGTTATTGCAAAATCTCCATTCCCTCCCTACTCCTGGGGGAAGGTTACTGCAAAATCCCATTCCCTCCCCACCCCACTAACCTGCTTTTCAGCTCCGTTCTCCTGTGCAGGGCAATCAAAGGAGACCCAACCGATCAGCTGGGACTCAGGAGGCAGAGAATAGGTGGGGGCAGGGCCAGTCAGAGGTGGTATTTGTTGGTTCTCCGAACTACTCAAAATTTCTGCTACCGGTTCTCCAAAACTGGTCAGAACCTGCTGAATAACACCTCTGAAAGTCTTAATGGCATTGAAAAAAGCGACTTACGACCACTGCCGTATCCCCATGGTCACCTGATAGAAATTCTGACACTTGGCAACTGGTTTATATTTACGATGGTTCCAGTGTTCCCCGGAGTCTCCTTTTGCGACCTTCTGTCAAGCAAAGTCAGTGGGGAAGCCAGACCCACTTAACAGCCTGTTTTTAACTTAACAACTGCAGTGATCCACTTAACAACTGTGGCAAGGAAGGGGTGTAAAATGGGGCAAAAAAACCTCACTTAACAAATGTGTCACTTAGCATCATACATTTTGGGCTTGATTGTGGCCGTAAGTCAAGGACTACCTGTAATGCATTTAGACCAATAGATCATGGATGTTGTTTTCTCTTCAAGATATTCAACAGGACAGGCAGTTACACTAAAAAAAAAAAAAAAAAAGATAGCTGAAGGCCCTCACATTTAATACCCTCATTTGCTTTAGAATTGGATGAACAGTTGAAGGTAGAAGAGAAGGAAATAAGGGAGGCTCAAGGGAAATATTGGGCACCGAAAATAACTATTGCCAGTTCTGGATTTAAGTGACAGGTTATTAATTATATTTTCCCCTTCCTTCAGGTTTATATTGGATCATTACCCATCATTGTATTCTCCTGGTGACACAAACCCTCCGTGTAATGACAAGCTGGGCTGATGTATGACTCAAGTCAACCAATGAATATGAGGAATAAAAGTTTAAAATTTATATTGAACTATGACTTAAAAGAAAATTTCTATAAGATGATGATGTATCATTGGTATTTAACTCCAGATAAGTTGTCAAGAATGTATAAAGGCATTTCAAATGAATGTTGGAAATGTGAATGTAAAGAAGGGACTTTTTATCATTTATGGTGGACGTGTGATAAAGCAAAGAAATATTAGAGTAGGATACATATCTTAATACAGAAGTTTCTTAAAGTGTATATAACAAGAAAACCAGAGACTTTTGTGCGGGGGGGTGTTAATGGGAAAAGGCCTTGAAAAAAAATTCATATCTTTTATATACGTTGATGGCAGCAAGATTACTTTTTGCACAGAAATAGAAGGTCACCACAATCCCCACAATGGACCAACAGCTGCAAAAATTGATGGGAATTAGCAGAGGTGACTAAATTGACTGATTAAAAAATATGAATACTTTTATTTCTACTTGGAAACCACTTCTGAACTTTGTGCTTGAGGTGGAGAAAAAAAATGAAACTGATTTTGAGTTTTACCGATTAAATGGTTATAGAAATGGCTAGTTTATACTATTATGGAAAAGTAAGAAGTTGATGTTTGATGTTAATGCACTGAAGGGAGTCGGAAGTCAGTCCCTTTTCTTTCTTTTTTTCCCTTCTTTTCCTCACTTTTCCCTTCCCTATTTCCCTATTTGCTTTTGTATTTTCTTTGTATGCTATCCCAAAGGTGCTTTTTTCAAGAGGCAACTGGGCTTTCTGGTTTTTTCTTTTGAAGATGTTTCGCTTCCCATCCAAGAAGCTTCTTCAGCTCTGACTGGATGGTGGGGAATGATTCAGTCGGAGCTGAAGAAGCTTCTTGGATGAGAAGCGAAACACCTTCAAAAGAAAAAACCAGAAAGCCCAGTTGCCTCTTGAAAAAAGCACCTTTAGCACAGCCATGACCTGGAAGTCTGAGAATTTCCAGACTTTGTATGCTATATTATAAACGAAGAAAAACTGTTTAACCAAAACAACAACCACCAGTGAATGTCTGAATCGAAGTCCCCGCATCCCATTCATCCCCCTACACAGCCAGGGGTAAGCATCCCAACTTGATAGACTTAATTTCTTCCATTCCTCTTCAATTCAATTTCAATATATATATTTTTTTAAATAAAATCATTTAAAATCGGTCCACAGCAAAAACCCATCTTTCTGCCCCGGCTCCTCCCCCCCACCCTTCCGCGCGCTTCATTCTGTTTATGTCGTGCCCTTCGGCCACGCCCCCTGCACGTGCCCCGTGGGCGAGTAAGTAAGGGATGTGGGGAGGGGGAAGAGTCGCGATTTCCTATTGGTGCGCAGTGCCGGCTTCTCGCCGTGACGTCAACCCTGCGCGACCGTCGCGAGGCTCTCCAGCATCATCCGAGCGGGCCTAGGCGACCGGCGTCGTGAGGGAGCTAAGCAATGGCCGCTTAGGACCATTGGAGGCGGAGGTGGCTGTTTTCTGAGCGATGAAGAGGAGGAGAAAGACGGAAGGGAGCCTCTTCGGCCGCCAGGATGCTTGAAGGGCTGAGGAGGCTTCAGCTGCTCCGGTGGCGGCAGCAGCGGCGACCGGGGTGAGCGAGATCCATGACCGCCGCTTGCGTGGTCGGGGCTCTCAGCCTATTGGTGCCCTGAAGGGCCGGCCGAGGGAGCTGAGGCCGTGGCCCCTGGGCTCGTTTTCTCTGGGCGCGGGTCATCCTAGCCTGGTTTGGCTTCTGGGTCCTTCCGCGGGAGGGCGGCAGTTTTCACCAAGCAGTAGTAGTACTTTATTGTCATTGCACCTCGTGCAACGAAGTTAAATGCCATCTTACATAAGAAAACTATAAAAAATAAAATAAAAACATACATCCTTCACATTCTATGTGATTGAATTAAAAACCCCTGAGATTGCTTTAAGATTGCACTATGCAGTAGAAAATAGAGCTACTGCCCTGGGATAGGAGCTGTTTTTCAGCCTATTTGTGCTTGTTTTAATTATCCTGTTCCGTCTGCCAGATGTTAATAGTTCAAAAAAAAAGGGGGGGGTGCCCAGGATGAGATGGATCTTTGAGAATGTTTTGAGCTTTCTTAAGGCAGCGGGAGCTCTAAAGCTCTTCCAAAGAGGGGAGAGGGCAACCCATGATCCTCTGGGCAATGACGTTAACCCTCTGGAGCGCTTTCCTATCTGCCCGTGTGCAATTGGCAAACCATACAGAGGTGCATTTCATAAGCTAAAGTGCTCTGGGACTTCAGGCTAAAGACAGACAGGCACCTGCCACATAATAGCCCAGGCTTAACAACTGCATATAAGAAAGATGAAAAGAAAAGCCTGGATGATGGATGTGGCAGCACCTGGAGAGAGAGAGAGCAGAACAGGTAGTCCTCCACTTATGACCACAATTGAGCTCCCAATTTCTGTTGTTCAGTAAGACATTTGTTTTGTCCCCTTTTATGGCCTTTCTTGCTACAGTTGTTAAGTGAATCACTGCAGTTGTGTAAGTTAGTTAGTATAAGTTAATATAAGTTAGTAACCCCAATTTGGCTTCCCCCATTGACTTTGCTTGTCGCAAAAAAGGATCACTAAATCTTGGGTCACAGCAATGGTCATAAATATGAGTCAGTTGCCAAGCATTTGAATTTTGATCACATGAATCATGGGGATGCTGTAAAGGTCATAAGTCACTAAAGGAACTGTTGTAAGTTGAGGACTACTTGTAGAAGAAAGAGCTGGAGAAGTGAACAAAATGCAAAGAGCTGCAAATAGAAATAGGGCTGCTGTGGCAAAAGCAAGCCAAGGTAATACGTATAGTGCTTCACATCTGCCCACCCCAGGTCTTTGGGAAGGGCTCGATAGGCAGGCAAAAATGCCATATCTGGTCTGAACATCTGGCTGACTGTGCAACAGACCAATAATAATAACAAGGTTCTTCTGTGTGAAAACGTCTGGCAGCCTCTCTCCCACTGTTTGAAGTTGCCTGGGAGGTATACACATATAAATCATGATATTTAAATGTAAACCTTTTTAATAATAATTAATTTTATACATTTAGATAATATATACATTTTAATAATTAAATGTATATACCACCCAACTTCCAGAAGATTTCAGAGAGGCAGCTGGAGGTTTTCACACAGGACTTTAATTAAAAATATCAAAAAGGATTTTTGGAAGGTTTTAGAAAATGAGCTGGCTAATATCTTATGGGACTTGATCATAATATGCCTGATTTAAGTTACTGGAAAAAAAGTTTATAGAGTATAAAACATGGCAAGAAACATGAAAAAATCGTGGAGAAAACCAGCCTAGATGGGAACTAGGGAAAAGAAGAAACTTAGGGTTTATTGGTAATCAGATGTTAATCAGATTTAGAAACTACCCATCTCTGTCTCTCCCTCTGTGTACAGGTAGTCCTCAGCTTATGACACAATTAACCCCAAAATTTCTGTTGCTAAGCAACTGTTTTGCCCCATTTTATGAATTTGCTGCAGTGGTTACATATGAATCATCACAATTATAAAGTTAGTAATAATTGTTAAGTGAATCTGTCTTCCCCATTGACTTTGCTTGTCAGAAGGTTGCAAAAGATGATCCCATGACCCAGGGACACTGCAACCATCGCAAATTCCAAGGGTCTGAAGTTTGATCATGTGACCACAGAGAATCTGTCATAAGTCACTTTTTTCGGTGCTGTTGTAACTTTGAATGGTCGCTAAATGGTTGGTTGTAAGTCGAGGGCTACCTGTATTCCTTGTATGCAGAGCACAACTTTTAAGACTGTTGTAATAACAGGGAGAGGTTTCTGGGAGGGCTGCCTTTAGGCCTGTTTCTTTAGTCAAAATACTGCTGACAAAGCTTTTTTTAAGAGGAAAGAATATTAAACAGGTCTGTCTTTATCAGTCCAGGTACTTCTTGCTCTACGTTGTTAATCATTAGTCTTAAAAGTGTCTGCTGTTGCTAAAATACTTTTTTGCTGGTGCTGTTGCATTTTCAGAATGTGAGTTGTGTTTTTCCTATATAGAAAAATGCAAATTGTTTTGTGACAAGTGAATGGGAGGAAAACTTGGATGTTCCATATCTGTCCTATTTTAGACCTTAAATCTCTGAATATGTTGTCTTCGTATTTTTCAGATAACTTATAACAGAAGTCAAAAGCCTTGTGTATTGCTACATGTTTACTCTTGCCTTGGTTGATGACTTGAAACACTACTAAAATGCACCAGAAGCTCTTGAAGAGCGCTCATTACATTGAGCTGGGAAGTTATCAGTATTGGCCTGTTCTTGTTCCTCGAGGGATTCGTTTATACACCTATGAACAGATTCCTGTGTTCCTTAAGGATAATCCTTACATCACTGACGGCTACAGAGCATACCTACCTTCTAGGCTGTGTTTAAAAAGGTTTGGAGTTGATCGAAATGGTTCAAAGTGAAATTAATCAACTAGCCTGGATTGAAGCAGTGCCTATATGAAAACAATGAAATGTTTTTATTTTGAAACTGCTTGGTTTATTTATATTTCTGTCCTGCTTTCTGCAAATTATAACCAAAGCGACTAATGAAGCAAGGTGCATTGACTTAATTTAAATGTTCTTTTCTCTGTGTGAAACACTACTTAATTCTGTCTTGCTGGTTATCCTTTGAAACTTTGAGGCACAAATTTCTTCTTGTCAGTCCCTTTTTCCGGAATCTAAACAGACAAACTCCACCGTGCAGTTTCTCAGGCCTAAGTGTATCCATACAACAGCAGAAGTAAATGGCTCTCCTAATAATCTATGAGCAGTGAGACTAATTTGCATGCGGTCCATTACTTTAGGGCTGGAATCCCTGATTAGATCGAGGCATTGCTATTGTCCAAAGCAAAAATATTAACAAAAAACAAAGTTACGGATTGTCACAGCAACCATTTTCATGCACATATGATGGCAATATAAATATTGCAAATGAGGGAAAAAAATCTGAATACAGAACAGGGAAATATTATGTGATCAATTTATTTCAATTTTGTATTTTTCCTGAGGAAATGCAGAGAATATATGCTGATTCAGGTTCAGCATAAAGTGCCCCTTTCAGGATAGATAGACAGACGGACAGACTCACTCACTTACTTACTCACTCACCGACGTAATACCAGTATTACTGACTAGCAGAGTTGAACCACATACCTATGCTGCTATTAGTCAAAATTATTTAAAACTAGTCAGACATTATTGTTTTTTATCTTTTTTCCCCCCAGTCTGTTCGTTTTGTCCAATGAGACAATCAATATCTGGAGTCATTTGCTGGGCTTCTTTCTCTTCTTCACTTTGGGCATATACGATATGACTTCTGTGTTGCCTTCTGCGAAAGCTTCCAGAGAAGATTTTGTTATTTGTTCTATTTGTCTTTTTTGCTTTCAGGTAAGTTCTTTTGCATATGGCTACCAAACTTTGCAAGGAATGGGTATATCAGAAGGACTGATACAGAATAGAGCTTGCATTCTCTTCCAAGGTGAGGCTTTTGCCTCATTTATTTTAATCAAAACATCGTGATAATTTACCGTCCTTTAATTGTAGATTTCATGGAACAATGTTATCATCTTATTCTGAAATCAAGGTAGCATCTCCAATTGATGGTCTCCCTTCCTAGTCTCAGTGCATTTCTATTTCATTAGGAATTTTACTAGCCTGTAGAATTAGTACATAGTAATAGAATTTTAGGGGAATCGCATAAATCCTAATTTGACTTGTTTTCAATTTTCCTGCTTAGTCCATTAGTATTTTCCTATAGTTGTTGCTAATTATTATTGTTAGCTTTCCTCTAGATCCCCTTATATTGGAAGGTAGTAGTGTAATAAATAAAAGTGTTTCCATCACTCTTCCTATTGTAAGCAGATTGAGTAAAGCCAGATATTTCTGCCATGCTTATTTTTTAGTTTCAACTAGAAACACACAAGCTCCTTAGACTGCTGCATGCTAAAATCTAAAAAAAAAAAAAACACCAATTCAATTGTATAAAATTAATGTGAATTTGTTTCAATGTTTTTGTAGGTCTGTATGCTTTGCTCAGTAGGATATCACCTCTTCTGCTGTCATCGCTCAGAAAAGACCAGTCGAAGATGGATGGCATTGGATTATGCAGGAATTTCGATTGGGATCCTAGGCTGTTACGTGTCAGGAGTTTTTTATGCATTTTACTGTAGTAATGTAAGTTTTGCACAATGCTAGCTGTTGTATACCTTAAATTCTGCTGGGGTTGTCTTCTCCCAAATAATTAAGTCTCTCAAATAATTAAGTACATCTAATTGTTCATTTATTCAGAATTCCAATCTGTAGTATAATTATATCCATGTGACCCTCAACTCCATCTTTTCAGATAAACAAAATATGAAAGTCAGTCTTTCTTAGCAGCAGGGACAGGAGTGTGTACAGCTAGTGCAGATTTTGAGAAAGCTATTTCAACAAACAGCAGCGTCTGAAATGGACTAGCTCGCTGTTGAATGATCAAAACTGGAATATAATCTGTTAAAATTGCAGAGAAGAACAACCAAGATGATTAGGGGACTGGAGGCTAAAACATAAGAATGGTTGCAGGAACTGGGCATGGCTAGTCTAGGGAAGAGAAGGACTAGGGGAGACATGATAGCAGTCTTCCAACACTTGAGGAGCTGCCACAGAGGAAGGGGTCAAGCTATTTTCCAAGGCACCCGAAGGCCAGACAAGGATTAATGGATGGGAACTGATCAAGGAGGGAAGCAACCTGGAAATGATAAATTTTCTGACAGTGAGAGCAACCAACCAATGGAACAGAAGTTGCCTTCGGAAGTCGTGGGAGCTTCACCACTGGAAGCTTTCAAGAAGAGATTCGACTGCCATTTGTCAGACATGGTGTAGGGCAGGGGTGGGCAAACTACGGCCCGCGGGCCACATCCGGCCCGTTGGTCTTTGTAATCCGGCCCGCCGAAGATTGGTACAGAATTACGGTTTGATGTGAATGATTGAATGATTGCATTCATTTGATTTTGACTTGTAATGACAGGCATTTCGACACCAGGTGGCGGCCCGTCTGTCAAATTTTAAAAGTCAATGAGGCCCCCGAGCCAAAAAGTTTGCCCACCCCTGGTGTAGGGTCTCCTGCTTGGGCGGGTGGTTGGACTACAAGGTCCCTTCCAACCTTGTTATTCTGATATTCTGTTAAAATTATTCTGTCAATATTTGGAAATGCAAATAGTACCACCTTCATTTATATAGTTGTTCCCCATGTTTTAGAAAAGCAGCTTAAATAGACATTCCAGCATTGGCTGAAATTGCCATGCGAGTACCTAGGTTTCTTGACATAGATCTCTCCTCCCTTTTTTCTCCCCCCATTCTAGTACTGGCGTCAAGTATACTTGATCACGGTGCTTGCTATGATTTTGGCAGTATTCTTCGCTCAGATTCACCCCAATTACCTCACTCAGCAATGGCATCGACTGCGCTCGGCCATCTTCTGCTCTGTGTCAGGCTACGGGATTATTCCCACCATCCACTGGATTTGGCTTAACGGTGGCATCACGGCATCTATTGTACAGGTAAATCTAGAATAGTTACCTGTTCTGATACATTTGCTTGAAAGATGGTTCTATGAACCTTATGGAGGCCTGTTTCCTATTATTATTGGTTTAGGGCAGTGCTTAGTGCTTAGGCAGCTTTGGTTAATCTTGGGAGACTATACAGGTTGACCTCAGTTAGTACTTGGATACACAACCATTTGGGATTAGGTGGCTTCTTCCTCTTCCTCCTCCCATATCCATCATTGGACATTGGCGATCCTGTTTTTATCAACAGCCACACAAAAAAGTGCTGCTGAGTTTTGTCCAAACCAGTCCCTTAGATTTTGAAGCCCTGATGTTCCTCTTTTCTGCCTGGACCTCGTTTGCCTTCAATCTTTCCCTGGAGGATTAAATGAATTTGGGATTTGGCTAAATTAGGAAATTGTGAGGAAAAAATCTTGGAAAACCCCAAAGGGAAGATACTTTCAACATGCTGCCAAGAAACTGCATTTTATTTGTTTGCTTGTTTTATAGTTGTACATTTCATGTGGTTCTGGGCAGCTTACAAAGTTAAAAATGCTATTTCCCCCCAAAAAATATATCTGCTAAAGTCATCAAACCATAAAAAATACAAACTATTAAAATTATTTTTTAAAAAACAATCTGGGAGAACATTTATTTGTTTTCATAATTGCACTGATGCCATTTATCAGTTGAGCTGGTCATTTTTATTATACCCACTTTCTTTTATTACCAGTTAAACCTTCCAAGTATGAGGACATTCAGTATTTAAACTTGCTTTCCATTTTTACAGCCTCACTTTTTTTTTGCTTTGTATTGAAATTAGGGTATCTGAAGAAACATGGGAATATTCACTTAACAAAGTAGTGAGTGAATACATTTGTTGCCAGGGTGCTACTGCAAAGCAATAGCCACTTATTGAAAAATCAGGTCCTTTTTTTCCTTTGCAAATGTTTTTGTTTAGGAAAAGTTCAGTAATCCACACTCTATGTACACTGCATATAATCCTTTATTTTGAATGAAAAGCATAAAACATGAGAAAATGAACTGGGTAGATTTTGCAAGTCATCCATTTTTTTTTTATAGTACTTGAAATCTGTTGAAAATGATTACTATATTCTTTCTCGCGTGTCAAGAGATCTGAAACTTGGATGCTTTCAGTGATTACAGTTCATTTTTATTTTCCTTTCTCAGGAATTCGCTCCCCGAGTTATTGTGATGTACTTAATAGCCATCATAGCGTTTCTCTTCTATATTTCTAAAGTCCCAGAAAGGTATTTTCCAGGTAAAGATATTCCTGATCATTTTCTAGCTGGATAAAAGGTGCACACTGTAGTTTTGACTGCTGTTGTGATCTTGTTTTAGAGTGAATATTCGAAGAAATATTGAAAACTCCCTGGTTGGGCACCTAAATTATGTAGTATTGTATTTAAGGTATATGTCTTTAAATAACAAGAGGCCTAGCGCAGTATTAGTGTTAGTGCTATGAAAATATTTAGCATGATATGCGTCTTAACATTTCCATAACTTGAAAAATAGTAATAACATTGCTGCACATGATTTTTTAAAATAGCAATAGTACTTAGACTTATGTACTGCTTCACATGCTTTACGCCCCTTTCTAAGCAGTTTTACAGAGTCACCATATGGCCACCAACAATCTGGGTCCTCATTTTACCCATCTTGGAAGGATGGAAGGTTGAGTCAACCTTGAGCCAGTGAGAATTGAATTGCCAAACTACAGGCAGTCAGCAGAAGTAGCCTGCAGTACTGCATTCTAACCACTGCGCCACCGAGGTTCTGCCTAATATCAAATTGAGAGTTAACCGTAGCCATCCAGACATACCTGGAAGCTCAGGAACCAGACAGTCCTTTCCTGACCCCCAAAAATGCAATATTCTCTGACTTTCTGGGCTGGAAAGATCATTTCCAGTTCAGCCAGAGAAAAAAAATATATTTGAATGGCTGTCTCTTGGCATGCATCTTCATCTGGTTGAACAAAACGCATGTTCCTTTCCTCCCTTCTGATTAAATTGGTTTTCTCTTTCCTCTTCTTCCACAGGACAGTTAAACTACCTCGGCTCCAGCCACCAACTTTGGCACATTTTTGCTGTGGTGATGTTGTATTGGTGGCACCAATCTACCATGTACATCATGCAGTACAGACACAGCAAGCCTTGCCTGGATTAGAGTAACGCACCCAAGTGCGTCAAAGTAAGGCACTCTCGGTATCAGAGAACTGAAGAACTAATAGCCCAGCGGCCCCCAATTTTTTGGGCACCAGGGACCAGTTCCGTGGAGAGAGGTTTTTCCATGGACCGCAAGGGGCGTGGTTTTGTGTGCTGCTTGCATCCCGCGGATGGGGCTTCGCTTGTTTGAGCAGCCCGATTTCTGGCATTCTGCAACCCGGTGTTTGGTCCATGGACCGGGGGGGGGGGGGGGGGGGGGGGGAGTCCTATTCTTGCCTGTTCTGGGATGGAGAGTCCCCACCATTGCAATGAATTTGATCTCTTGGAGAGCAACTGCTCAATTCCTAGCCTGGAATTTCCCTTCGCAGTGAATCCCAGATCTATCAGATTACTTGTTTCCATTGTCAGCCCATTTCTCCTCTTGTCCTTCGATGTTCTGTGCATCATTCCGAGTCAGTATTGTGATTGCCGACTGGTAATGTCTCTCCTTAATTTCAGATTGATTTTTCTTTTTCCTGGCCCTGTGAAATTGTGACTAGGAGAGCCAGTGTAGTTGTGGGGCCAGGGATGTCCAGGTTCAGCTCCCCACATGATCACGGAGTTCACTAGGAGAGTTTAAGCTAGACGGGTGTTCAACCTTGGCAACTTTTAAGACTTGTGGAGTTCAACTCCCAGCATGACTGGCTGGGGAATTCTGGGAGTTGAAGTCCACAAGTCTTAATGTTGCCAGTGTTGGACTCCCCTGGTTCATGCTATTCATTATCTTTTAGGCCAGCCTATACCCCAGGATGATGAGAGGATAAAAGCAGGGGAGAAGGCTTTAATCTTTGAAGAAAAGGCAGGATATATATATAGAGAAGGAAAGCTTTTATGATACCTTTTACTCTTACAGGCATTTTGAAAGTTTTTATTCATTAGATTATATCCTGTCTATTCTTCAGGAACTCCAGGCAGTGAATACAGGTACCCTGTTTCTCCAACAATACGGCCTCCCCCAATAGGAAGTCCCAGCATGTTTTATAGGCATGAAATGAAATTAAGCCCCTCCCCCCAAATTAAGGCCTATATTAAAACATGAAAAATGGGGGGGAATGGTGGGGGGGCTTGCCATTAGGAAGTACTTTGGTTGCACACCTGGATATGGTGCTGCCTGCGTTGACCCCGATACGAAGTGCCCCACCAACACCGAGGTCAACATCCAAGCCGTCGCCGCCCGCCCACCCAAAGATGCAAGTGGGGGGAATTAAGTCACCCCCGAAAAGACGGCCTAGCCATTTTTTCAGGGCACAAAAAAAAATAAGACCCAGCCTTATTATATGAGAAACACGGTAGTCCTTGACTTACAATTGAGCGGAACATTTCTGTTGCTAAGTGAGGCACTTGTTAAGTGAAATTTGCCTCATTTTACAACCTTTTTTTGCCACAGTTGTCACTGCACTTATTAAGTTAGCAACACAGTTGTTAAGCGAATGTGGCTTCCCCATTGACTTTGTCGGAAGGTTGCAAAAGGTGACTCCAGGACACCACAGTCATAAATATGAATCAGTTGCCAAGCAGTTGTTGTAAGGCATGGACTATCTGTACTTCCTTTCCCCACAACCTGTCCCTCAGCCAGTGAAGTGACTAAGAGCTGTTTGGTTTAAGGGTGGGATTGAACCTGCATTCTTCCATTCTTATAATTCCTCCCAGGCCAACTTTTCAAACATCACATTCTTCCAGCAGCCAAACATTTGAAATTGATTCCATAAATTGTGCCATAACCTTGTTGGTTTGCAATTGCTGTGAAGTCAGATGGATGCTGCAGAGGAAAAGGTTGCCAGCGGTGTATTGAAATATTGTCTTTATAAGGAGGAAATGAGGTTTTTTTTTTTAACCAGAGAGGATGATAATGGGGGGGAATATTAGATCCCTTTGTGTTTAAGGGACAGCCATCTTTTTTATTTTGTGAATCTGGAGGTGGCAACCTCCCCCTACTAGGAAAGCTCTCTTGGTAGAAGTTCTGCTTGCAATAATTTAAAATGAGTTTTGTATCATTTTTCAGAATTCTATCCTTGTACCGAAGTTTGGACATGTCTGCATTTCATGCTGATTTTAGGAGCAACAGCCACAGTTCTCATTGAATCCTCTTTCTTTTAGGAATAATATGTTAATAGGCACTCCTGATATCGTTGATCTCCACCAGCTGAGTAACTCTTTATCCACTTAAAGAGGTTGAAAGAACTGCAGATAACTCTGTTGTATATACACGACTTTTCTTCGAACTACTGATATATAAATTATAATAAAACTTGGACCTGGAAACTGTTTATGCTATCAACGAGAAAAGTTCTCCAAAATGCATGCATGTGAAGTTCTCATGACATTTGCATGCTGGGATCTCACTTGAAAATCCATGTTAACTATACCTTTTTAATGTGCTCTGTGTTGTTGTGCTGACGTTTCATTTGAAAAAAAAAATTCAAATATGATAGATTTTTTTTTTATTGGAGTTCCTTTTCCTTTTAATAAAAGAGTCTCCATGGATTACCGGCGGGTGACTTTTATCTTCAAACTAAGATAAATCGGTTTCTAATCTTGGGAGCTTGTAGTTAGTGAGTCCAACATGTGACAAGGGTCAAAAGATTTTAGACTTGACTACAAATGGCTGCAAGTAACCCTCGCCACAAACTTGACCTGCTTGCTACTACTAAGATAAATGGAATTCTTCTGAGCCATTCTTCAGGATAGTACCTGCCTAATGCCAAACACAAAGTGCTTGCTTGTCCCTTGACAGCACTTTCTGCTGCCCTGGAAATTTTGAAGAGAGAAATTCAGCCAATGCAGGAAAAAAAATTAATATCCGACTGGAAGCATGGCCACTTCAGGTTTTGAGATTCCAGCAGCCATGTCTCCACAACCTGGTGTCAAAAAGGGATTTTGCAGAGAAGAATGAAGGAGGTAAGAGGCATTTGAGTTGCAGCCTGTCGGTTGCAAACACTGGTATAGAATTGGGGAAGGATGCAAAAATAACATTAAAGTGCAACCAAGTAGTTACTAAAAATCTGTTTTAAAATACCTTGGAGAAGGACAGTACTTCTTTCGTTGCCTGTAACTTCCCTCTTTTATTTTCTGATATTGTTTGATCTTGCCCTGGGGAGTTGTTTTTTTTAAACATCTAATTCTAGTTTTAATGTGGCTTCTGCTAAGTGTTTGGAGAAACTTTCATTTCTTTTCAGCAGTTCTTCCCATTCTGAAAATTGTGCCGTAACGCACGTTAACTTTCAGAATACGGAGTCGCTAAAACTAAGATAATGGGGGAAATCGTATTTTCTCTATCTGAAGCAGGGTAAGATTTTGCCCTGTATACCCTCAGACTTTTAGGACACAAATGGGAAAGGTATGCACTGTAGAACCTCCCAGCCCTACAGCTGTTGGGACTTAAGCTGCCAGCGAAACCTCTTTTAATTCTGATGACTATTAGCAGTTTTTCCTCAAGGTTATAATTGGAGAGGGTAAAATTAAGTCTTCCCACATATTACAGTTCTGTTTCTCCAGAGGTACTATTTGGTGCGTGTTTTACAAAAAGGCTTTATCGCTGAACAGGGATGAGACTGAGGCGGGGAGTAGAAAGGAGAGGCAACGGACAGGTCAGAAAACAAGAGACTTGCCAGTGAAAATTTGTAGAGCAGGGTATCCACACTTGGCAAATTTTTAAGATCTGCAGACTTCAAACTCACAGCTGAAGTACACAAGTCTTTAAAAGTTGCTAAGGTTGGACAGAGTATTATAGTCCTTGGAAGGCAATCCAGGGATTTACAGTGGGTTTGGGATGATCTAAAATGGTAAGTGCCCAGGTTGTTATAAAGCAAAATAATAATAAAAAACACGGACAGACTACAAAGCATAAATTGTTCAATAAGTAGGCATAATCAAGAATTCACTGTTAACCAGTGTAAAACATCCTCTAAACAAATTCATTTTGTCTTCTGTGAGATCAAAGTTTGCCTTTGGTTTCCAGGCTTATCCTTTAAAAATTGGTATTGGAGGCTTCTTGTGTATTTTTGTCTTGTAACTTAAACTGTTAAGTTTCACTGGTGCCAGTAATACTGAAAAACAGTAGAATTGATGGCTTTATTGTGGTTATAATAGTGTGTCATGCCCTCTATAACCTCTCCCAATCATACTCTGTATGTGGTAATATAACAAGCTGAGTGTTTGTGCAATAGAGAACAAAACTTACAATTTAATGCCAAGATGGAAATAAACCTCCTTAAAAGTAAATTTGGCTATTCAGGCAGAGTGATCCTAGTGTATTTTACACAGTTGAAAACAGTTGCTTAATTTGTTCATATAAGGACGTATTTTGTTACTACATTTTATAAAATGTAGAGAAGCAAGACTATTCGATTCTATGTTTTTTAAAAAAATGAAATCCCAAGTGGAGATTCTTATGCAGAAAAAGCAGATATTAAGAGATAGTTAAAGGGCTTTCCAGAGCCTTCAAGATGCACTTGTAGCAGCAGGTTCTTCAAATAAATACCTCTTTTTCATTTAAGAAGTAATTTAAGTTAAAGAATCTCCAGCTACTTTTACTTTACTGAAATTAAAAAGGGGAGACTTATTACCTCAGGTGCATTGCTAGAAGCAAAATTTTAAATGTGGAAAGCTTACTGAAAGAAGAATTTCTCTATGCATGCTTCTTCCACCTTGCTTCAATTTTGATAATTTCAGTGGAGAGAGGATGATTTAAAGTAAAATCTGAAATGGAGGCAGTTTTTCTGCATAGATGAACTAAATTCCAGTGGTCATTCTCACTCTATATTGTTTTTCTTTTTCAAAGGCCTTATGCTGCTCTAACGTTGTTTGGATACTTTCAGAAAGGTAAATGAAACGAACGGCAATACCAGATTTCCACCTCTGAAGTCTGTAACTGCCCCAGGACTATCAGCAAAGTTGATATGTGCCAAGATCTGCCATTGAAGCTGCAAGCATGGCTATAGAGCAAGGGTGTCAAACTGGTGGCCCACAGGCCAGATGTGTCGTGCGCAGGCCACGTCCAACCAAGCTCCGCAAAGGCAAAAAACATTGCGATACATCACGTGACATCAACATGATGCGGCAAGTTTGACATCAGTGCTATAGAGGAATCTCCAGATGGTTTATTGTGAATGCAACTAATTCTAATGGATTCCACTCCAACATCTTTTTCCATCTCCTATGCCTTCCATTTGTTTCATGCTTTAATGTTGTTTTTTGCCTGAAACTAAAATGAAAGCTACAGTTTTATTTCAGATGTATTCCTCTAGCCTGGGACAACCATTACAGAAAACTGTACATTCAGAGTTAACTACAGGTGACTTATGTCATGGCATCATCACTTTTGTTCTACTTCATCTTAGATTTTTAACTGCCTAGGAAAGTCATGACAATTGTTTGCACTGAAGTATAAAGGCAATTTTATTAAGTTGCACTGTAGGTGTTGTGTAAATAGTGCTTCAATAAATGGTTTGCCAAAACGTATGATTTGCTGTGCTGCATAGTAACAAATAATTGGGTAAGGAGGCCTGAAAAACCCAGCATGGGAAAAGGTAAGGCTGTAAACTTTGATACCCAGTGTCCTGCCATTACTTTACATGCTCAAAAGCACATTAAAGAAAATCTTAAGTATTCTTCTGAGGTACTAGCAAATCTCAAGAGGACAAAATGAGCAGCTTTACAATCTCTTGTGCCTCTTTATACATATTTTTTTTAAGACAAGTACTGCAATGTGAGGCTTTCAGTAAGAAATGGATCACATTAGTTTGAAACAACTAGCCATACTCTTGTACTGCACTCAGAAAGTTCCGAGTCTTTGTAAGTTATGGCTTTGCCTCCCAAATCATGCTAATCCATGGAAAATTGAGTAGCTGGGTTCACCCAATTCCTTAAGCCAAGCACATATGCCATCTTATAGCTTAATATGAGAATAATTTAGTCTTTGTGATGGATTAATTTACACTGTAAAGGTTTGGCAGAAACCAAGGACTGTGGCAGTGGTCCTTAGGATGTAGCTTAGTTTAACCAATTACCAAGAAACTGCTTAGTTCTTTTGTAGAATATTGCTATATTGCCCCAATCATAGTCTGAAAATACAAAGATCCAACTGCATAAAACTTTTCAAGTACCGTATTTGCCGGCGTATAAGACGACCCGGCGTATAAGACGACCCCCCACCACCACCGGAAACGCCCTCCAGAAATCCCCGGGGCTGCAGCGGCAGGGCGGAGTGCCAGGGGCCATGGGAAGAGCAGGAAGGCTGCAGCCTCGGGCAGAGCGAGGCGAGCGGGATGAAGCGGAAGCGACGCAGGGGATCCGGGAAGCCAGAGGCGCCTTCGCTGCGTCCAACAAGCATCCGAAAGCCGGCAGTGGATATACCGGCGTATAAGACGACCCCCCCACTTGGAGGCATGTTTTTCGGGGCAAAAAAGTTGTCTTATACGCCGGGAAATACGGTATTACAAAACAATTACAAGTAGTATAACACTTATAGATGCAGAGACAATTTGGCCCAAAATCAGAACTACCAAAATAATTACTGCTCTACAAAATGTAATGGGGTGGGGAAAAAAAATTGGGTATCCATGGATTCATAACTCTAGTAAATTAGGAAATTTGCTAGCAAAAATGTAACAAAAATATATTTTCATGATGTGATTTCCCACAATTGTTCACATTTGGCCATAGCAAGGTAAGGGAAAGCTTCCAGTTATCTATCCCCAGCCTCACAAAAGCCCCCTCTTACCACCCTCAAATGGACTGGGGGGGGATTCTACATTCTTCAAGACCTCAAAAAAGGGCAAGTTGAGTTATAGCTCCTGATTTTTTCAAATCTGCCCACCTGTGACTTAAAAACATATCCAATTGTTTGGGGTTTTTTTTCCCATAAAACACTCTTAAAATAACTAGATAACATTGAAATTTCGCTCGGTTCTTAGTAAACATGCTTTCTTTAAAAATGGTACAATAAGACTTTATTATAACAGCTGGCATTGGATGGAACAAGATTAAGTTAAAGGAGATGTCAATGAGATCTTACACATTGGAAAAATCTTATACAGTACTGGAATGACAAGTTTTACTTGTAACACCCCAGTCCCATTGCAAATTCACACAGTGGTTGGTGTTACAGAAACATGGTATCTGGTTGATTAACAACTGGAAGTTGTTTTATGTACATCATTTTTGCACAGAAAGGTCTGTATTAGTGGTTACCCATACACATACATGCACACATACACACTGCACAACGCTTTAGAAATTTCAAGTCTAACAAAAAAAAGTAAAATATGGAAGTGTAATTTTGAAAAGTGCACTTGAACGCTGTTTGCCAGCAATTAGAATGTAACATTATTGTTTTATTCTTAAGTGATGTTCTTATCCCAGAAACTAATCTAGGCAACAATATTCTCTTCAAAGCGCCCTAAAAATATAATCACACAGACAATGGTTTTGCATTTTCTTATTACTCTTTTAGCAGCTTTTGGCTCCGTTTCGTTTTCCAATGCCGTGAAAATGATTGTGACTGCAATACTATATTTTTTAAATCACAGATTCCCAAGAGACTACAGGATGTGTGTGCATGTACGCTTTATATACATCTCTCTATAAAAATACACTATCACGTAAAAAAATATTTCAATAAACTCTAATTGCTATTCTCACAGTAGTAGCTATCTCCTTTTATTCTCACAGTAGGTTTTTTTTCTCTCTCTCTTATCATTAGGAGAAAACTGAGGACTTCTGGGCAGCCCTACCACAAGGGTGCTTGCTACTGAATTTCAATGTTGCAGGATCAGCTTTGAAGAGTGTATCTGGGTAGAACACGCCAGGGAAGTAGCCCCAAATTGATATTTCAATCTACAAGGTTTGTGGCAAGAGATTCAATCTCAATTACAAAGCTCAAAAGTTGTACCTTCTGAACACATTCAGGTAACAAATGCAGTCCATAAGGGGGTAAGTGATATTTCCCCTGAAGCACCTTAATTTCTATCTTCGACCTCACAGATAGAAGTTATATTTTCAAATCAAATACAAACAGTACCTTAATTTTACCAGTAAATTATCCTGTCCAAAGAAAGCTACCTAGCCCCCTAGATGAAGTACACAGCTGGTTAGTAAAAGGAAGGCTCAGATTTCCCTACACAGTAATGAGAAGGTCTAAATGTTTCATGAAAATGGAAACGGAATAACCGTCTCCAGTTCTGAATCAATATCTCTCAAGCTTCTTACTATTGAAGGAAAGACCGAAACAGGGTGAACTTCATATATATGGATAAATACATCCATCCATCAAGCAAGGCTATCCCAACCTCCCCACCCAAAGAAAATAAACAGCTTTTTCAGTGAAGCACATAATTGAAGGATTAAACTTACTTGGCAAAACGAATAAGTAGAAATCAACTTCGTGGGAACTGCCAATAGCTCACCCAGTTCAGCCACCAAAGACACACACACACACACACAAATCAGTGTACGAACCTCATTTACAATAAACTAGGACAGTGATGGCTAGCCTTTTCGGCACCGAGTGCCCAAAGTGCGTGTGTGTGTGTGCGTGCGCGCGAATGCAAAATGCAATGTGCGCAAATCCGTCCCCTGCCCCCCGTGCATGTATGTGCATCCCCACACATGCACCCCCTGTGCACGCACGCGCGTCCCCTACATGCGCCCCACCCACCCCCCATGCATGCATGGCAGAGACCTAAAGACCAGCTGGCCTGCAGGAGGCGTGCGGGCATGCGCAGCAGAGCAGAGCTGGGGCAACAGCTCGCGTGCCTGCAGAGAAGGCTCTGTGTGCCACCTCTGGCACACGTGCCATGGGTTCGCCACCACGGATCTAGGAAATCAAATTCTTTTAAAAGTCTGATTGATCCAAGGGGCAGAAAGCTGGGAGATTAAAGATCCTATTCAAAAACAAACAAACAAAAAGTTGGTGAAACAAATGAATGGCCATGAATTACACAGGGTTATCCTCAGTCCCAATCCTGTGTATGTTTCATATCATGTGTTCATCCCTATCTACCAATTATATAGCTGGAGCCCTGTAGGTGTGCCCCAAGGTTTTCGAATGAAAAATCTGTCCTAGCAACCAGAGACAATGGCCAAGACAACCTTAACCATTTTCTAGCATAAATCAGTTTTGGGAAGAATTGTCTGCGACATATATAAACAGATGCAAAACACAAAGTTATGCTATTTCAGCTCTTCCCATCACTAGATTGGTGCCATTTTTGGTCTTAAGTACAGGAATTCATATATCCATATAGCATAAGTTCATATGCCCATACAAATGTACAGAATAAAACTAACTACAACTGGTACAAAGGATGATCTCCTCCTGGCAAATCGAAGCCACTATTTAGGATCCTGAAGACAGAAAACAGAGTGACCCAATTACTCTAAATGTCATTTCTCATGGCATATACATCATCATCTTCTTAACTGCTTACTGGAAACAACTCACAGCAATCTGATTTCATCAGGATTTTCTGATGAAAAGGGTTTGGATGGAGGTATTAAAAAAAAATCAGATGTCAGGTGTAATCATGCAGACATTTGGAAGCAAAAAAAAAAGTTACCAAACTGATTAGGTGGATTGGCTGCGATTTACTTATTGTCTCCCATTAATTTTAGCAAGTGGTGGCAACTTTGGGGTGAGGAATCCAAACTATTGCATTCCTTTTATACCACCTGAAGCACGTGTATCTTTTCAAATAAAATGAGGTTATCATATGGAGACCATAATTAAAATCAGCTCTCTGTTCACTCTGGGACTCCAACCCATATGGACGTATCTCCTACCCAGAAAGCCTTCCACTAAATGAAAGCCAAATACAGTACATTTAAATAGCAGGTCCTTAATGACTTGATTTTGGAGAGTTTAGAACCCTCCTTACTCGGAAGTCTGCTGGCCGTGATTAAAGTGGCCTTTGGAAAGAAAGTTATTTTACAACACACGTTATGTCTGAGGCTTTGGCACAAAAATAAAGGAGCAGGCCTTCTGAAGCATATGCACAGCTGATTTTTAACTGGTCTTTACACAATATTTAGTGTAATAAGACAGACATCTAATTTTTTTGGGGGGGCGATATGGGTTTCAAACCATGCAAAGAGATGGACTTCACTTCTAGAAGCACATTTAGCAAGAACTTGAAATTATATCTTCGAGGAATGATTAAAACGCTACATATTTTTTCAAAACTTGGAAGGTTAAAGGGTCTTAACTATCTTCACATTTATTATGTTTGCAAATGATATTCAAATTATGTAAATGCTACCCAGACACAGCTATAGTTAAGGTCATGGAGCTTCTACAGTTCAAATTCATATATGTGTGAATGTCTATGCCAGGATCCTGAGATGTCAATCTTCATTTGTTTAAGGAGAGAAATGGTTACTGAAGCCTTTCACTTTTTAAGAATGGATTGCTCTTTGCCACTTTCTGCTAGACATTTAGCATTTCTGATTCACACACACACACA